TAGGGCTTCTCTTTATTTCCTTTAAAAATTCTATCCATTTTCACCTTTTCTTATTCTTTCCCCTTTTCTCTTTTTTCACACTTCCAAGAGCACGGGTGAAAAGGTAAGCCTATCTGGTCACCATTCCTGCTGCCCCTCTTCACCCCACACCCGGGGCCCTGCCACAAACAGCGACTCTCCTCACTGGATTCTGTGATCAACACGTGTCTCCCAGTTGGTTTGCTGGCTGATTCCAAATGTCAGGGTGGATGTCTTGAAATGAAGGAGGCAATTCCTGGCTAGTTCAGGGAGCAAGAGGGGAGAGAAGGAGGAATCATGCCTTGGAGTGACTTGACTTTTGGAGTCTCACCAACCACAGCTTGAAAGTATTGGATCAGTTGTTGAGCTGCTTCTGCCAGTTTGGCTAAGTGATACTGCTGGATCTATCATCTCTTGGCTTCCCACGGGGACAAGGAAGGCTGCACAGAGAGGCAGGATGGAGGCAGTAAAGGACACATAGGTGTGAAAATGCCATAGAAGCCCTCATAGAAGTTGGGGGCACCTGGCATTTCTGCAGAGGACGGAGGGACCTACAGTGGGCGAATGGCAGCGTATGCTGGGGCCTTAGGCTCTTCTCAGGTGGGAGGTGAGCTGGTGCCAGGGCAGCATGACTGGCCTCACCCAGATGCTAGTTCTGTGTTCTTAGTTAAACACCAGCATGTTTAGTTTCCCACTTCCAGAGTGAAATGGAGAGCATGAAGCCTGCAGTGAGGCACGGTGCAGCAACTATGTTAGTGAGAGAAAGGGTCAGAGACATAAGTTTTTCATGAAACACTTCTAAGTTAGATGTCAGACAAACAGTTTGAGGGGAGTAGCTAAGTAGAAGCCTGTCAGCCATAGTCCTGTTAGGCTCAGGCAGAGGCCTGGTGCACAAGGGCGGGGTTAGCAGATGGTGTCAGTGCTGAGGCCTACGCTTTGATTCAGGGGTCCTTGTGGATAAGAGTTGTTTCCCCAGGGCTGTTCTGTGCACAAAGTGTGCAACTGTTGGTGGTGACCTTTCCTACCAGGGTCTTTTTTCCACTCCTAATATTTCTCTGTCCCTCTTAAAAACTGGTTGCCCTCTAAAATTCTACCATCAGAATTTTGTTTTGAAAACAATTCTGATTTTTTTTTTTTTGGAGAAAGGGTCTCATTGTGTAGTTTAGGTTGGCCTTGAGTTCACTACGTAGCCCAGGCTGGTCTCTATCTCACAGTGATCCTCCTGCCTCAGCCTCCCAAGTGCTGGGATTATAGGCATGTGCCACCACAGCAGGCAAGATTGTGATTGTTTAAGGTATAGATATTCACAAATGGGAAACATTTTAGAGCTGTTATCAATTACTTTCACCTCAGTGCAAGTGAGATGCTGGCAGAAAATGTTGAGACAAGAGAGTGAGGATGTGTGAGGAGATGAGAGGGAGCAACAGAAAGCATAGTGATGGGGTGGGCCAGGGCATGTGGAGCGTGCGGGGAGAGGGGCATTGCACAGACAGCAAGTGCCGGCTGCCTCTGACTTGCACAGGCAACATGCCTACCCCCCACTTCTGTTTCAAGACAGGGTCTTACTATATAGTTCAGGCTGACCTTGAACTCACTATGTAGTCCAGGCTGGCCTTGAACTTGTGGCAACTTTGCCTCAGCCTCCTGAATGCTGGGATTGCTACCACCAAATACTGATATGACGAAGGAAATTGCTGGCAGTATCTAAATGCAGAGAGCAAGAATCTGCAACTCACCTCAGTTTCTTCTGGGCAGAACAAATCAAGTAAATTGCAAACCCCTGAAGTGAGAGCTATAGCATACTTTCTAATTACAAGAATCCCAGAGAATACTATTCACTCTGTGGGCTCAGTGTTTTGCTACTAATGATAATAAGAACATTCTTCCTCTTTCATGAATAAGAAATTCAAAATTTCAGGAGACTGGGTCATTTAGCTGGCATCCCTGAATAATTCAACATTAAATAGAGCCAAGGCTGGGCCATGGCTTGCCGGCTGGCAATTTTGATTGTGAGTGAGACTGTTTGCTGCTCTTGACTCTCCACCATATGAGGGCTGGTGCATTAGGCTTGGGCCTGGCATAGCCTTTTCTGAATTTCAAGTCTCTTCACAACTTACCCCTGTGGGAGAGGAGACTTTTCCTCTTTTTTGGACATGAGAAGGGTTTGCCAAACTTCTAGAAGTTGAAGAATGGGCTTCGAAGAGGCCATAGATGCCAGAAGTTATGAGCAAACTTTTGTGTGTGCCTGTGCCTGGCATTTCTTCAGGGATGCGGTCCCTACCAGTGGGCACAACATTCTCCAAGGCCTTCAAGGGACTGAGGACCATTGCATTGGAACCCAAATGATTCACATTGGTGTCTGGTAAATTGGGTCCCTTTTGTGCCACGCTGCAGAGGGAGGGAAGGGAAAATAAATAGAAAAAATAGTCATTTAAAAACCATTTTTGGTGGTATTATTAGTGATTGACCCTAGGTCCTTACATCCCGATTCCCTGAGTTATGTAACCCAGGCTGGCCTTAAACTTGTGGTCCTCGTTCCTTAGCCTCCTGTGTATCTGGCATTGTAGGGGTATACTACCTGATCTGGTGAAAAAAATGCTCTTTTATTACAAATTGATGAATACTCCTTTGTTGTGAAGGTTCTGCGGGGCTTCTCATAGGAGCTGCGAAGACTGTAGACCAAGTCACTTTGGGGCCATCTTGTTAGCTGTTGAGCCAGCTTAAAGAAAACTCACTGGGGTTTTCCGAATTCCATTTGTACTAGCTCGTGAGAGTATGTTCCAGGAGTGTGGGAAGGAATGTGTATGTGGCGGGAAGATGGGAAAGTTGTGTGCTGGGAATGCACAGTAGGATGGGTGGGTGCACCCGTGATGTGAGCGAGCATGGGAAAATGAAGGTGAAGTGGGATGGCGGTGCTACAGCAGAGGCAGCTGAGGACTGAGGAGTTCTTGGGGGTGGAACTGAATTAAACAGGAGTGTTTCCGTTCTAATTCCTATCTAGGTGATCCTTGTCTAGTTACTCAGACTCTTGGAGTCTTTGTTCTTCCCGGAGGTGGAGGTGTTACCCATTCCTGTGCCTCTACTCTCCTTAAGGGTTTTTGTGAGGATAAGGAGAGACAACATACATGAATTTAGTACAGTTAGAAACAGAGGATAAGGAGAGACAGCATATGTGAATTTAGTACAGTTAGAAACAGTGGAGCTGAGGGAGTCACCCCTTTCCCACCATTTAATTCTAAACAACATCCTGTGGTTATTCCTGTCTCCATTGTCCTAAGAGGGATAGAAAATTAAATAATGAAAACCTAAGAGATCTCTGATGCTCTAGCTGAGAGCATGTGCATGTTGGATCTCCTAGCCTGACCCTCGAGTCACCTTTATCTTACTCCCACCTCACTACAGGCTCATAAATATGCACTACATGCCATAAATATAATTAAGATCAGAGGGAATTCTTGGGGAAGTATGTTTAGTGAGAACCCCTAAGATGACCCCGCACCCTGTCGATCATTCCTGTCAGTCATACCTAGAGATTTAGGGGAGGCCTCTAAACTGAGGTGCACATCCTTTCAATTCCCAAAGCCTGAGTTATCCAGGTTTTTGTTGCTCTGTTGCTGTTGCTACTTTTGTGTGCTCTGACTGTGTGCAGAGCTTTTCAGTCACCCCAGCACCTTCTGTCTGTGCCTTATTTTACGGTGGCACGGACTTGCCCTGAGCATAACTTCCAATGATCCTAAATAAATGTAGCTGCTTGCTACTTCCTACTGGGTATAAACTGGCAATTCTTTCCTTGTTGTACACAAGAGCCTGGATTATATTAGCCCATCCTGTGGCAACAGATTCATTTATGAATTACATGGTTTTTCTTACTGTCAAGTGTTTTCTTTAGGAAGGAGATTGAACTGATGGAGGAGAACACAACCCTTGGGGCAAATGACTAATTGTACCTTCTAGCCTTATCTAATGTGAAGAATTTGGAGGCAGTCCTTCATTACTAACTGGGGTGGAGCCCAGTCTCAAGGTGAAACTCAGTCTTGAAGCTGTGGATGCTGGTGTTTGGGGGGAAGGGCATACCTGGCAGGTAGAGGCGATAGAAGCTTATTTGGCATAAAAAAACCTAATTGTTTTCTAAATCTCTGGATAGGAGTGGAAGATTGAGCATTTCCTGTCCGTTGTAGGCATTCATCTTATACCAGCCTGAAGGCCAAAGGTGCAGCTATATCCTGAACAGCCAGGAGTTCCAAAGTAAATTACATTGAGGTGTGTATATGTGTAAAGCTATAAAATAAATGACTGAGTTGGGGAGTCTGAGATACCAGGGTGGTGGCTGTATCGAAGACTGTATAAAGGGGATTCAGGGTGGAAGAGGAACATAGCCTTGAATTATTTGTTGAGTTTTCTCAAGCCAAATCAAGACCCTTTGTTCTGACTTCCTTGTGTTCAAGAGAAACAGAGAGGAATTAAGAACCAGAGGGCCTTTATACTGAAATACTCAGCCCCAGAGAAAAAAACAGAGTGGGTGGCTGAGAGGGAAAAACAAAGTTAAATATTTCCTCTGAGTGATGAAGAATGGACCCAGGCCCGGAACTATAATTCATGGGGCCTTAGATGAATCTCCAGCTGCTTCCGCTGTCTCCACATCTGGAAGAAGATTGGCCAAGGACTCCAGCAGTGTGGAAGCCAGTGGATGAAGGAGGCTCCATGGGGTAACATTCCCTGGGCCTCCCAAGGGCTAGCCAAGGTCTATGCCTATCTGGGTGTTATCTGCTTTGCCCAGTGCTGTTGAACAAACTCCATGCAGAGCAGGTGAAGCACATCTGGGACTTTGAGGATGTTTGAAAAAGAGCGATAAAGACATAAATTCATAAATCTGTTTTCATGTTGCTGTATGAAGCCTAATTTTAAATCCCAACATGGTGAGTCTATGATTAATAATCTCTCCAAACTTCTTTCAATCACTTTCCTTCCCATTAAACTCTCACCTGGACTGTAGCGCTTGCCTCTCTAACTCCTTCGTGCTTTTCTCTCCTTTTGGGGCTCCTCTGGGATGCTCCAAGGTACAGGGGACCGGAAGTGATCTTGACATTGATCATGCTGAATCGGCAGGATCTGAAAAAAAGGAAATCCGAGTGCCATACCTAATCCTGTGGCTGTCTTTTTCTGGCTTCAGGCATCACCTTTGGCAGTTGATCTTCTACTTGGAACCTCCTGAACATACTTGGTTTAGCCAAGAAGTCAATGCCTACACTGGGGACTGGTGTGGAGACCGACAGAAAGGGAAGGGGTGCTCCCTGGATGGATGAGCTCCCTGTCCAATGTTGCTGTGGCCCAGACTGGGGAAAGGGTTCAACAATTAATTAGCAAGGGGCAAGCTCAGACTAAATATCCTGATGCTAGCGATGGAATATAAAGGCTGAAAGGAACTAAGAGAGAAGGAGCAACTAGAATTGTATGAGTTCATTTGTATGGCTTCTCTCATCTGTGGACAGGTATGTATGAAGTGGGTGGAGGGGGCAGGCGAAAAAGCCTGCACAGAGCTGTGTTTGCAGAAATAACAGCATGAAGCTGCTGAACTAATTTAGCCAGAGTCAGTTCTTCAGATAAGTATAAAGAGAAGTGAGTTAATGAGATGAGAGAGCAGCTGGCTAGGTTGCCTTAGACATGGCAATGAGGGTGCTGGGCTAAGGTCTCTGCCAGAGAGATGTAGGATGAAAATAGATATGGGAAGAGAGCACTAGAGACTCAATTCCATGAGGTAGACTTACGTTCATTTTGGAGATGCACTATCTTGTTCAATGCTTTACAGACTGTGAGCATCCAAGCTGAGAATAGAATTGGGTTGGTTCATTCATTCAGTATGTATGGGGGTTTCTGTGGGCTCAGCACTGTGGGATTGAATAGTGAATGAACAGATGGGTCTCATTCTCATTCTAGTAGCTGATGGAGTGAGTCCATCGATGCAAATGTAAAGTTTCAAACAACAAAATAGTTTTAAATAGAGATAAGTACTAGGGACTTAAATAAAGGATGCCACCTGGCTCATGATTTGGGACTCAGTCTCTGAAGAGCTCACTTGGGCTGACCTGTAGGGGATAACAGGCAAGGCTGAGGGAATGACCTAGTCCCCTGACCTCACTCTGGGGGATGAGATGTCTTTCATTTTCCAAGGATCTTAAAATCATAGAGGAGAGGGAGAAGTGAGAAGGTGTCAAGGAAGCAGAGGTGCTGAAGCCACATGGCAGTTCCCAAGCAGAGCTGGAGGAAGACATTCCCGTTAGTTTTCCTCCCTTTCCTCTTAGGAATACCACAGAGGTCAGAAAGTGATGATGGCCATTGTCTTGGAGACCCCAGTAAAGCTTGACAAGAGCAGTAGTAGTCAGAATAATAGCATCTAATAAGAATATTAACAGTACTGTTAGATAACACTTAATCAACTTTTTCTTAGACTCCAAACACTGCTGAGCTCTTTGTGAGTAGTAAGTCACTTGATCCTCATAATAACGATAGGAGGTGGGAATATTACCCTCATTTGTAACAAAGGAGAAACTGAGGCTTAGGAAGGTACAGCAACTTATCCAAGACTGTACAACTTCTACCTGGTGGAAGATGCTCTTAACCCTTTGGCAATGTTACCTCCCATAAGCTTCCACCAATCATGCAATCTTTGATCCGGAAGTAGCCTTAGATTTTATCAGGACCAGAGATTTCTGACACAGTCCTTTGTCCCAGGATAATGTTTCTCTTCTGATAGATGAGGAAATTTAGAGTCTGAGGAACAGAATGATAGGACTGGAATATGGATCCTGAGTTTTCCCAACTTCTATTCAAGCAGTCTCTGTACTGTATCCCTCAAACTTCTGTATCACTGTATCCCTCAAACTTCAGTTTTTTATTAGGAGACCCTGGCAATAGTGATGGGATGGGATTGCAGGTATCAAGAGGAGAGAAACAGACATTAAATAAAATAATGCACATATAACTCTTGGTACAGTGCTTAACACACAGTAAGTATGCAGTACATGCTAGTGATTTTGAGCAAGTCCGCATGGCCAGTTTCCAAGTTCAGGGGTGAAACAAGCCAGACTGTGACTGGGGAAGGGGAATCGAAGTACTTGGGAAGGGAGGGGCTTCTCCCTGGGTTTGCCACCTTGATTGACCTGCCACAGGCCTTGCCCAAACTCATCCCGTCAGTGCAAGTAAAATGTGGTTGGAAACCTTGTAATTCATCATTAAAACTGAATGTGCAGGGGCTGGGGATTTAGCTCAGCGGCAAAGCGCCTGCCTGGCAAGCGCAAGGTCGTGAGTTCAGTTCCCGGTACCAGAGAAAAAACAAAAAACAAACAAACAAAAAAACAAACAAAAAAAAAACTAAATGTGCAGGAAAACAATTGCTTGCCCCAAATAAGTGACTTGTAGTTGCTCCTGGTTATATGAGTTGCTCTTTAATTATAGACCCTCTTTGAACAGTCAAACACACAGGGCCTTTGAGAACTAGAGCAAACTCTCCACGCGAACCTCCCCTATGCGGACTGTTCCTTTCATTTACAGAGTACGAACACCCAACTCTTACTCATTCACATAATGAATTTAAGCCCCTTGTGTCTCTGTTAAGGAGAGGCCTGAGGACAAGTATGGGCATCTGTGCTGTCTTACTGTTTGAAGCTCCTGCAAGAGTGGCTCCTTTACAAGGAGGAGATACCAGCAAAAGGCCCCCAGCCCCGCTGCAGCAGTATGTGCCTTCTCTTTCCTTCCCAACAGACTCCTCTTCTGAGCAGCAGTTCTCTCAAACTCCCAAATTCTTCCAACTCTCTCCTCTTTAGGCTAACATTACCACACCCTTCCTTCTCCTGTTTTTTGTCCTCTTGTAAACTCAATTCAGAGCCCCTTTTGTTCTGGAAAGGGTTTCTAGGTATCAGGAGAGACAGGAAAGCCCATGCCATCTCCTCATCTCTCCTCCTTGTCAAGAAGAAGTAGATTCTGCTGGGGGTGGTGGTGTAAGCTTGTAACCTAGCACTCAGGAGGCTGAGGCAGGAGGACTGCTGTGGGTTCGAGGGCAGCCTGGGCTACACAGTCAGTTCAAGCCCAACCTGGAGTCAGTTCAAGCAAGACCATGTCTAAAAAAAAAAAGAAGTGTGGATTCTGCAGAGAGATAAGGAGAACCTTGAGGTCTACAGCCAAAAGCAAGGCCCTCGGGGTCCTTTTCGAACTGGATGAAACTTGCAGTGTGATTAGATGGCTCCACACTCAGCCTCCTACTCCAGTGCCCAGTCCCACCCAGCCTTTGGTCAAAGATCAAAGGAGATAATTTTAAGAAGGTACAATGGCTGATTTTTGTCTGCACCCTGTCACTCCTCAGCAGGAAGTCCACCTGTTTCAAGCTGTCTACATCTCCCCAGGGACTGGATGGTGGTATATGGTTATCAAGGGCTCATCTCCCCTCCTCAAGCCCTGACCGATAGCATTTGCTATACATCACTTGCGGGTCCCCCCACTGGGTCATTAAATGAATTGCTCACTAAATGAGGAATTGTATATAGTATGTACATTGCAGCGTTCAGAACAAATAAATGGTCAAAGGAAACTCCACCTTGATGACTTTGCTTTTATTTGCATAGCTCTCACATATACTACTGTAATGTATGACAGAACATAAAACTACTGTACTGTGTACAATCAACAAAAATCACGGTATTGCATGTACTGTAGAAGGAACCACTATAAGGCTGTTCCATTCCTCACCTTTCTGCACTATAAGTCCAAATGTGGGTAATAAGTCTGAACAGTCGTTAAACAGGTAGGTCTTTAAAAAGGAGGAACATCTGTACAGAAGTATGTATCTCAAGCAGCCCCCTGACATCCCAGAATGTGGAGTAGGAGGTCATGTAGTGGCCCTGTCATATTTCCATCCCCTCTGCTCTCTTTCTGGGAGCTCTGAGTTGCTGGGGGAAAACTGACGCTTCTAATGGTCAAGATCATAGACAACAGTCAAATAATTAAGAAGTGATGGGCTTTGAGTATTTATCAACTTTGTTTTAAAATACACTTTTTGCTGGACTTGGTGGCAAATTCCTGTAATCCCAGCACTTGGGAGGCTGAAGCAGGGGGATTGCCCAGTGTTCAAGGCTAACCTGGGCTACAAAAGTGAGTTTAAGGACAACCTGAGCTACACAGCAAGGTCTTGTCTCAAAAAAACCAATCCGCCCCCCAAAAAATTGTCTTGAGGTTAACATACATCCTTCACAAAATAAGTATCAGTAAAATAAAGATTTTACACAGTAAAAAAATACGCTTTTATTTAATAAAAGTTGTACAGTTTAATTTTTAAAATAATGACTATGTTAAACAGTTGGCTGGCAAAACTCCTGAAAAATTGACAAGGTCCCATCCTATACGTCCCTCACCCCAGGACCAGGGTTGACTTGGGTGGGTCTGGACTCCAGAAAGGATTCTTAGGTTTCCTGCAAGTCACCCTTCTGACAATAGGACACTTATGGGGGTTCGGGGAGAGCTTGGTTCTGGGTCTTTGGGGACTCTGTGATTAAGAAACAGCAAGGACAGACAGCAACAGGAGGGACGAGGTGGGCTGGGAAGGGGTCAGCGGTATCGCCATTCTTAAGTCTTGACTCCAGCTGCCTCCAGATGAAGGTTAAAACTCGGGAACTCAGGTGACTCCAGGAGCAGAAGTAACTAACGCACAGGAGCACTGGGGCGTAACCTAGGGCAAAACGCGCACCGAGAGATTCCCTGAGGCGGTTTCTTGGGCCAGCCCACGCCTCCAGCCCCAGCTCAACGCCACTCCCTCCCTGCCAAGTGGCTCTCCGGTCTGGAGGCGGGACCGAGCTTTCCGGTGGCCCCTGGAGGCTCGGGGCTGCGAGCTCTGGGAGGCTGGAAGGGGAAAGAAGGGAGGGGCGCAGACTGGGCAGTCCAAAGAGGAGGGGGCCTTTAATAGGCTCGCCCAGATCTTGGGTTGCTACGTTGCGAGCGGCTGCGGAAGAGAAGCCGTCCGGCACCTCCCGCCAGCTCTCTGCTGCAAATTTTCCTCTTTGCACTTGACAGCGGTTGCACTTACGCTCCCAGGGTGCGCTTTGCTTGGAAAGGCACAGGTAGGAGGCGCGGACTGCGGGTGCACGCTCGCTGCTCTGGGAGGTGTCTCTCTGCCTTGGTGGGCTGTAGTTTCTGGGAGCTGCCGGCTGCCCCGGAGCATTGGTGGTTCCGCGGCTCGGGCTGCAAGGAGACCTGTGCACGCTGCCTGGGCGCCAGGCCGAGCCCCTTGGCAGAGCGCGGCTGTGCGCTTCCCGGCGCCATGCTTCTCCTGGGCATCTTAACCCTGGCACTGGCAGGGCTACCCGCTGGCAGCTCTGACCCAGAGCGCGAGGTCGTCGTCCCCATCCGACTGGACCCGGACATCAACGGCCGCCACTACTACCGGCGAGGTCCAGACGATTCCGGGGATCAGGGACTCATTTTTCAGATCGCAGCATTTCAGGAGGACTTTTACCTACACCTGACGCCGGATGCTCAGTTCCTGGCTCCCGCCTTCGCCACTGAGTATCTGGGTGATCCCCTTCAGGAGCTCGCCGCCAGTGCTTTAGACCTGAGACGCTGCTTCTACTCGGGGGACGTGAACGCCGAGCCGGACTCGTTCGCCGCCCTGAGCCTGTGCGGGGGTCTCCGCGGCGCCTTCGGCTACCGGGGCGCAGAGTATGTCATTAGCCCGCTGCCCAACTCCAGCGCGCCGGGGGCGCGGAGCAATAGCCAAGGCGCGCACCTCCTCCAGCGCCGGGCAGCCCGCGGCCGGGCCTCCGGAGACCCCGCCTCCCGCTGCGGGGTGGCCTCGGGCTGGAACCCGGCCATCCTGAGGGCCCTGGACCCTTACAAGCCGCGGCGGACCGGCGTTGAGGGTAGCCACCGGCGGCGCAGTCCCGGGCGCGCCAAGCGCTTCGTGTCCATCCCACGCTACGTGGAGACTCTGGTGGTGGCGGACGAGTCTATGGTCAAGTTCCACGGCGCGGACTTGGAGCATTATCTGCTCACGCTGCTGGCCACGGCAGCGCGACTCTACCGCCACCCCAGCATCCTTAATCCCATCAACATCGTCGTGGTCAAGGTGCTGCTCCTCGGGGACCGGGACACTGGACCCAAGGTCACCGGCAACGCGGCTCTGACGCTGCGCAACTTCTGCGCCTGGCAGAAGAAGCTGAACAAAGTGAGCGACAAGCATCCCGAGTACTGGGACACCGCCATCCTGTTCACCAGGCAGGTAAGTTGACCTGTGTCACCCCCTTGGACCCAGTCAGCCTCATTCTCTTAGACTCACTGCTTTTAGCTTTCCAGATCCCCTTTGTGCCGCGTACTGCCCCAGAGTTTAAGTTCCATCGATCTCCTCCAACCCCAACTTTGAAACTTCCAGGAAAACCTGCTCTTAGGCTTAGCCGAGCTCCAGATCGCGTGTATCCGGGCGATTCCCCTTCCGAAGGTGTTGGCCGGCTGCGGCCAATCAGAGCCTCCCGAAACCGGCGCGCTGGGGCCGGAGCCCAGGAAGTTGCCGCCCCGGAGCCGCAGTTTGTCTGCAAGGCCTATAGGAGGCGCTATGAGGATGGTATTGGAGAGGGCAGGAAAGTCTGCCCCTCTTATATGCAGCGGCTAAATCCTCTCTGACACCTCCTCAGAGGCTTCCTGTCGCTGCCTGTGGAACTGGAAGGTGACCCGAGGTCAGCATCTGTTACATGTCCAATGGGTGACATGTTATCCTCTCTCTGTTCTGGGCCCCTGGAAAACTTGGAGTGGGACGTAAGTAATCATTGAGAGATTTTGTGGGTTGCGTAAAGACCAGACTCAAGTACCTACTGGGAGGATCCCTTCTTCAATTCTGGGTCTCCTCACCGTTCTCCGCTGGCCCTGTCCAGCCGCTTCCAGACCATTGCAAGTGGACCATTAACACCTGCTTGGGGACTGTTTCACTTGGAGTTTCAAGTGGAGTTTTACTTAGAGCTGAGCTGGGAAAATGTCTTTCAACTTTCCCCAATTCTTGTTTCGGAGGGTGACCCATTCGCCCGGCTGACAGAGAGCGGAGTAGGCAAGGTCATTTGTGATCCTCCACTAAAACTCCAGCGAACTCCTCTCGAATACAGCGTTCCAGCTTCAGCCCTTGCTGTGGCGGAAGCGACGGAAGAGTAGTCAAAAGTGTTTGAAGATGCCCGCTGCAGGGTTGGAGAGATCCTGAGCATTAGGATTAGACAGATGGAGCCCGACCAGAAAAGCAGAGCAGCCTTTTGCAATCTTTACCTGATATTCTCTCAAAGAAGCTATGAATCCGTAAATAGTCAGCTTGTAGGTGTTGACATACCCGCGTGCTGTCAAGACTTTGGATTCTTGGAATTTCTTAGATACAGGAGACTGGGAGGAAAAGGGCCATCTAAGTGACCCGCTTCCTCTGATTTTGGGGGCTGTGACTTGAATGAGTGCCTTGCTCTTGTTTTGTCATTATCATAGTAACCGCAACGTCTTGGCTGTGGTACAGAATCACCTCTGGGGCTCTTGGTCTCCACTGTTTCCAAACGGCCACTCGAAGCTGGTCTGGCGCCCACGGGCTGGAGCCGGAGTCTTCCACAGTAACCCATTTGGCACAGCTCGCTCCTTTCTGGAGTTGAACTTCCTCCTTTCCCAGTCTTTTTCTCCTCCCACCACCTGGTTTCTCTAGGGAGTCTTGGCCTGAGTCTTGTTTCCTTGTGTTCATTCTTTCAACTGAGGCCGAGCCGCTTCTGCCCAGCTCCTACAAGCACTGCCTGAGTCATGGGAAAGCTGCAAAGGAGGCAGCTTCAACCTCAGCACACAGACCAGCTCTGCAGTTGGACTGGTGGGGGAAAGAAAGCAAAGGCCAAGAACAGGATATCTTAATGGGAAAAGCAGCTGTTGCCCCATCTGCTACCCAGGATGCCACTGTGGAGATTGCTCACTGGCTCTAAAGCAGCAGACCTCAGCTGCCGTGCTTAGTGGTGAAGGCTAACTTCTGGAGGCAGCCCTAGGAGGAAGAGTCCCACTGGGAATATGGGCCATGCCATCAGATGGGTCCTCCCTTTTGAAGAAGAAGCAGTGAGACAGCGTGGCAGCTTCTGTTTCTCGGGGGCTATGTTGTCCATGCATAATGGGTACAAGGTGCACGACCACCAGGGTCAGAAGGAAGATGTGACTTTTAGAAGCTGTTTTTCCCATAGACATCGAAAGGGCGAAGTCAGAGAACTGGGAGGCTGTGTTGGCAGGTCTATCATCCAGGTATGTGTGTTATGCCTTGGGTAAACATCTCTCCCCCACTCCCTCACCAGTGCAGATTTAGGGGCCTGCTGCATTCTCAGAGTCTTAGCAACTTCTCATTCCTGAGCTCCCTGGGGGAAGGTAGAATATTGGATGGGAACACGAGCCAACAGCTGCTCTTTCTAGACTAAGGCAGATGTGGTCTCCAGGAGCCTTCATCGTCCAGAACAGAGGATACACTGGTCATACAACAAGCATTTTGACAATTTGAGGAGTTTATGTAAAGATTCAGAATAAGTTCATGTAGCAAGAGTGCACATCTGATTCTGCAAAGCAATCAGCCTCTAGGCTCATAACAGCAGGGTGAGGTCAGCCCAGGATTGGAACGAAGATCTGCTGAGAATTACAGCCAGAGTCTTTCTTTTTTATTTCTATGAGGAAAAAAGTTTCTCTGGCTTCTTGCTGCGTGGGACAGCAGGAGGCAGGTACTGACTGCTGAGACTCAGTAGGCCCTCATTTGCTGGACTTCCTTGTCTTTAGGCCCAGTGTCTCTGCTGTTTGGACCCTTTGTGGTAGATGGCTTTCATCCATTTATCCGTGCATTCTCTTCATACTTACTGAGCGTGCTGTTTCCAGGAACTCTTCTGGGCTGGTGCTACACTATTAGTAAGATACAGTCTGCCATCCCCAGGAATTAACTGCGTGACAAGTGTCCCAGAGGGCAACAGCCAGTTGTACTAAGATGTGCTAAGTCCTGGGACAGAGGCATGGAGCTGTGCCTGGGGACACTGGATGGGGACATTCACCTCCCTGTGAGTGTGAGCCTCGGATGCCCCTGAAGGGATCAGGCTGCAGGCAAGGCCGGGACTGGAAGCTGCTGGGATGGGGAAGGAAGGTTGCTTTCTGCATTGCAGGGTACCTTTATTTCCTCCACCATCTGGTTTGCTTTTTGTGACATTTCTTCTTTTGAGATGACTTCATTTTCATTTTTTATGACCTGCACTTTATGGTTTTCTGCCTGCTTATTCTTTCCTTTTTTTTCCTGTGGTGTCAGTGTAACTTCATGCCGTTCCCCTTTCCTTTCTCCCCTTCTTTCCTTCTTCTTATTTTGGGATTATCTGGGCAGGATGTTCCCCATCTCTTCTCTTACTTTCTCCATTCATCCTCTGACCTCCTCCCAACCCCAAACTTCGAGGCCTTGTCAGGGGAAACTTCTAAGGTGCTCAGTGGGCAACATCGGGAGCTTCATGTGACAGAGACCGGTGCTGTCTATAACGAAGCACTTGCAGCTGACATGTTGGCTCATGCCTGCAATCCCAGCACTCTAGAGGCTGAGGCAGGAGTGTCGCTGTGAGTTTGAGGCCAGCCTGGGCTACATAGTGAGTTCAAGGTCAGCCTGAATGATATAGCTAGACCCTGTCTCAAAAAAAAAAAACCAAACCAACACAAAAACACTTGCAACAGGGCAGCACATTTAGTATTCATGTCAAAAAATGAAGATAAAAAGATCATATGTCTTTTACATCTGTCTAACAATATGATAAAAAATCATGGTTGCATTATGATTTTTTTTGAGACAGGGTCTCACTGTAGTTCAGGCTGACCTTCAACTCACTGTGCAGCACAGTCTGGTCTCAAACCCGTGTTGATCCTCCTGCCTCAGCCTCCTGAGTCCTGCATCATGATCTCTTTCTGTCAGTCCTTGGATATATTAGGAGAAAGGTACCAAGTGAAGATTTGGGATTTGACAGTTTGTCATTCTTAGTCACTACATGGAAACGCACTCCTGGGAGGGAGAATGGGAATACAGAAAAAGAGGAAGAAGGAGCCTGTTTTGTCTCTCATAGGGTGAGAACTGACCTTTCACTGTACCTCATAAATAAGCCCAATGTTAATGGTGGAAGATGGGGATGAGGGTCAGAGGGAATCAATCTTCCCTTACCTCCCTCCTCTCCTCTCTCCCCTTTCTTTCTTTTCCTTTCTTTCAGGATGAGGTTTTGTTGTCCAGGCTGGTGCTCATACCCTGGGCTTAAGTGATTCTCCTGCCTCAGCTTCCCAAGTAGCTGGGACTATAGGCGTGTGTTGCCACACCTGGCTTCTTTCTTCTTTTTTAGCCAGTGGCTTAGTTAAGAAGATAAGGAAGGTTTTTCTCCACCTTCCTTTCCACTTCTCTGTGGCTGTCACTGCCCCCCAGCTCTTCCCCCACCTTGACTCAACACCTGGACTCGGTCACGGTCACGCGGTGCCCTGGGGGGAAATCGGGTTGGAGTTACACAGAGCTGAGTCTGAACACCTGCACTTGCACTTTTTAGCAATGGATATTGAATGAGTCAGCTGTTTGCAGCTCACTTTCCTCTCCCTGGAGTGAGGCTAACGATGATGACACAGTGATCCCTAACTTGTGAGCCTCTTTCAAGGATGAGTTGCTGAGTCTTCTGAAGCAGGCACCCAGTGATGGCAGCTAATTCTGATCCCTACCTTAGGGATGGCCCAGGACGTGCTTCTCCTTGTTGAATGTTCACCTCTGGACCCCTTGTCAGAATGTAAACTTGGGGTAGTCCTGATTTAAAGCATTCTGTCCCACTGTCCTTGCAAGCGTGTGCTACACTTATTGGATTATGCATTCCTGTGTTTGAATGGAACACTGGATGCCAGCACTTGCTAATTCCACTGGTCTGTAAACACCCCTAAGGCAGCAACCTCTTTATGTCTCTGTAACCCCTGCCCTGGCTCCCTGCATTTTAAGGCCCTGCATTTTAAGGTTAGATAAGTGTGTAGAAGAGGCTGAGGGGTCTGCCTGTCACTGCAGCACTTAGGGGGTTTCTCTCCCTCCCTGGCATTCTCTCCCTTCCAGCTGTTGGCTGCAGCATCGGGAGAGGGACTCTTTGGCATTTCTTCTTGGCTCTTTGGCATCAAGTTGTGCCCTGGAGAAAGGCAGGACCCCAGAGAAGAGCACGTTTAATCCACCCAGAGTCAGCAGACGGGAGTGCACAGCAGGGATGGGTCGGT